CCTCCCAGGACATAATTACATGTCCGTGTATTGTAGATATGAATGTAGGGTAAACATTTAATTCACTTTATTTCATTGTGTGTGACTCAACTATTTCTATGTTGTCCAGTTTTTCATTGATTTTACATATTAAACCTGTTTATTGGTAGCATTCTGCAGTAGGAAATTGCCGTCACTTGTGGTTCTTGAATTTGAGGAAATTGGTACTGGAAAGTCCTTGAAAGGTCCTTGAATTTGATGTTGACCAAGGTGTGGGAATCCTGGATTGAGCAAAATATAGAGAAAAACTTTTTAGCAACGGGGCAAAAGTGTAGCTAAAAATAATATAAAGATGAAAGTAAAGTTGTCTGTCTTTGTACTGTGATTGTTTGGTGGTGAGGTTGCGGCTGCTTGTATTTCAAACTTGKCTGCTCTCGGTCGTCCTGGGTTTTAGGTTTCTGGACTGTCAAAACTGAAGTCCAGCAGTGGGGGTCAAACAGCCAGGCTGCCGTCTTTGGGTCCAGCCAGAGCCAGCGGTCTGAGGAAGAAGAGCGCTGGTTCTGCAAAGAAATGCTCCTTGGCGAATAACGAGAACAATCCTGGTGTCCAGGCCACCATCAGCAACCTGTGGAAGAACTACAGCTTCAAAAAGTAAGAATGTTTTTTATTCATTTATTCATTTTTAATTTTCTGTTTGACTTTAAAACAAAAGAGGAAGAGTAAATAAATTCCCACCAATGCAGACGCTTAAGATTATTGGTAACTCTATAAAAAATGTTTCTGATAATAACATTCCCTTCTTTTCATTCTTCTCTTTTTTTCAGGGATGCTCAGAAGATGACTTCCTGTAAGAAGGAGCCCATGTCTCCTGTCAAAGACAACCTGCTGGTCAGCTGACCTCAGCCAACATGAACTGTTCCACATCATTAGACGCTGAACTTTTAAACACGTCATCAACTTGTATTTCTTACTGTAAAATTTAAAATAAAACAAGAGTTTAAAAAATTCAATATTATTTTGAGTTTTCTTACTGAGCACACTCTGCATCATGTGAAGTTCATGTGGCCTCTGTCTTTTTTATCTTCCATTCAACTGAACAAGTCATTCAGAGTTACTGTAAAAATGCACAATACATGTTTTTGTGTGTTGAAAATTTCTGCCCTGCAGGTACTCTGAGGTATGCTGTGATAAGACTGCAGATATGTGGTTCCACCAGAACAATGTAGAGGCTGTAGATGAGCCCAGAGTTGATTAGGATGAATTTCTCACAGCTAATGTCTGCTGGATTGAGGCTGTTCTTTGTACATTTAAAAAAAAAGATTGCATGAACCCAGTTTGAAGTATTCTGTTGAACCAGTAGGACTTGACACAGATCCAGTTGTCCTGTGTGACCTATGCATTTAGTGTGCAAGCAACAAATAATTTCATCTGACTTTTTTAGTGAACAAAACTGGGTTGAAAAAGATTAAGACTCTGTCTACATGAATTATTATTTTTTACTGACCACATAAGAAATTTGGTGACCAAAAACTAAAGTGAAAATGATGAATAAGACTTGTACAGAATCCAGGAACACTCCAGTATTT